ACGGCGACTTTAGGTATGGTTATGTTAGTATCATACACCACTATATCTCCGATTCCAAAGGTTGGTCTATGCTAGGAGACTTCATAATCACTGCATACCCATTGATTATTGGAACCATGCTGTTGCTTACTTTCGGAGCATTCACTAATGATAAAGAACGCCGTCACAAAGTGGACTTCCCAGCGACCTACTTCAGCGGATCTGTTCCAAGATTTGAAAACAATGTTTCATTTTGGTTTGCGATGTGTTATTCTTTTATCGTCGGTTTTGCTATAAGTAGTAAGATTAAGAGCACGGTTTCTTCTTCTGCTTAAAGTATAAGAGTTTTCTTTATCCACGTTAATTTTGTCTAAACTGTTCCTTCTTTACAAGGAGGGGCAATTATCTTTTATATATTGAAATAAACTCTATATTAAATTTTCAATCTTTTTAATTTTTATTCAACAAAACATACACTATTTTTTAATTTTATTTTTAAACATTCCATGCTTATTCCTTCTTATTGGGATCTATTGGAATTATATAATAGTTGTGGACTAAGATTGTAAATATTCCTTTATTAGTTTTAGGGTTTTGTATATGTATTCATGAGGTCTCTTTGTAAGAAGGTGAACAAGTAATAATATATAGATTCTAAATTTTTTATGGTATAAGATTAAAGGTTGGATTTCTTGTTCATTGGATTCACAGAAAGCGATTATTGATTTCAACAGTACTGTTCATCGGATACTGTTCATGGTGATACTATTCATCGATTATGTTCATCAGGTACTACTTACGGCGGATTATTCATCGTTTTTGTTCATCAGATACTATTCATGGCGGTACTATTCATTGGTTACTGTTTATAGTGTACTGTTCATCGATTTTGGGTTTTTTGCTTTTGAGATATGTGATTCGATTTCGCGATTTTTTGGGTCTACTGAGTTTTGTTTGGTTAGTGGAAGATGGAAGAGAAGACATGTGATAAAATAGATTTGCGGAAAGCGATTTTAGATTTTTTTGAAGAAGTTGCACGCTTCATTGAGACAAAAGAGTCAAGTGGCACATACATCAGTTGTGTCACACATAATTATGATGCAGATTGATTCTCATGTCAAAACTGGTTTGAAGAAAGAGCAATGGGAACAAACTGTAGGTGATTCTTGTTCAACATAAAATTCAGCTAATTTTTCTAGTGAGAAAAGGTTCTTGGATAAGTAGATAATTGATTATGGAGATTCACATCATATAACGGGTACATTAAGCTCTCTTGTTGATGTCTACAGAGTCTCACCATACTTGGTTGGATTACCTAACGAGAAGAGTGTAGTTGCTGACCAAGAAGGAAATATTGTTTTGACTGAGAAGTAGAGGTTGACACGAGTTATTTTTGTGGAAGATTTGAGGTGTAGTCTTATCTCTATCTCACTGTTGATTGATGAGTTGAGTTGCATTGTATTGTTTTCGAAGACATGATGTCTTCTATATGATGTTGTTGTGGAGATGGTGATAGGAACGGGTGAAATAAGAGAATGACTGTATTTTCTTTAAGGTATCTATATTATTAAAACAGAAATCACTTTTTGAGAGTGTCCTTTTCTTTTGCAAGTATTTACAGCTAAATGCCACTGCATTATTTTTTAAGCTATGCTTTATATCAAAGCGGTTTTACCCAGGTAAAGTGGGTATGACCCGATGGAATATTCTAAAACAATGATTTTTATTTAATTATGTTTTCTGATTTTCTTTTATTTATGCATCAAAAATCACATATTTAATTAATATAAACACCTAACAGCTTTCGTTATGCTTTTATTTAAACAACACCTGCCTGTCGAGAATTAACATATCATAGTTACAGATGTTTAAGAACAAACTTCAGTCACTATAACACATTGGATTTCAATTATTATAAAGAATATGTATCAATTTTGTTGTATTGTGATAATGATTTCCAATGAACACCAATCCTTCAACGTTTATTAGAATCTGCAAACTTCCACTTAAAACCAATACATTAATATATTAATATTGTTACCATAACCATTCATCAGTTCCAATCATTTTTATTTTACAAACGATTACATCAGGAAACATAATACACAAACTTGAATGTTTTTCAGTGAAAAATGATTTTCATAATCAAAGTTATTAAAATCTAAAACTATAATTTTCCTAATTGTTTGAATATATTTGTGTGCACTTATATGTATTATGAAATCATAAACCCAAATTATTTTTGGAATCTTTCATATAAAATATAATATCAATAACAACCAATCAAAACAACAAATCGTGAAAATTCTTAGCTCAAATATGAATTATTGAATAAAATCTTACATCATAATCACACAAAATCAGAAGAAGAAATTACAAAGATTTTACAAACCAATTACAATATATAATATAAACCACTAAATTAACAGCCAAAAAAATTATAATTAACAAAATTTCTGGAATTTATATGCATAACAATAACAAATAATCTAAAACATAAATATCGATCTTTTTCAAATCAATAATTATATATATATATATAAATACTTAAATTAAAAAAAACTAAATTTTACTCAATAAACTAAAATTTCGGTAAGTTGTTAAATTAAAAAAAATATATATAGCAAGATCGTAAATAGCTAAGCAATCTAGTATTATCATATATTTATAATATTAGTAACAACCAATCATAACATAAAAATCGCAGCATTTAGTAACTTAAATCTATATAATTAAAACAAGAAAATCTAACTACCATATTTTGAATAAACTTGATCTACCATATTTTGAATAAACTTGATCCGCAAGATCACTAAACACACGGCTAATTTTAACGCATACAGTTTATAATGAATTTAGATTTTAATGCATACAATTTATAATGATTTAATAAATTCCATTAACACACATTAACTGAATTTCAAGTTTTTAAATATAATTTAGCAGATCAAACTGGTATTAATTAGAAATATATTATTCTTATCTACAACTAACTACTAATGTGAATCTCTAACAAATCTATTGTTGTTACCATATATTCTATAATAAATACTTAACAGTAATATCTTGGTATTTAACTTAGTTTCAAAAGGTAATAAACTTTAACACCGTAAATTGTGTTACAAGCTAAACAAAATATCATCTTCAACTCATTATATAAAGGTATTCTCATTTCACTAATCGACACATCCGTTTTTCGTTTTCATATGCTTTTTTGTTCTTTTTTTCAACAAATTAGAGTTCTAATTCTAACGTCATGCTTGTGATTTTATACAGGTCTAACAGAGACTGGGATGATGGCTACAATCAAAAGAGATTCGTGACTTATATGTGAATTTTTGTGTGTTAGTTATTTGTTGGCCTAATTGTTTGCTTAATTTAATTGTGTTATCATGTTAATTTAAATTTCATGTTTGATGGTAACCACATTGACATAGTGATGTGTGTACGTCCAGATAAGAGGAATCAAAGGAGGTTATAGCTCATACAAGAAATAAAAAGTTTAAAGAATGGAAGCGATGTAATTGATCACCTCGATAACTTTCATGAAACTTCAATTTTTTTTTCAGAATTCATGGTTTCTTTTGGTGTATTGTTTTCTCACTTCGATTTGTGCTTTGTGATCTCACAGGTTTATCTGGATCAAACCAAGGAACAGATATGGCCGAAAATAGGTGCAGTTTTTATCGGAGTTTTGATATTTCTTATCTTTTTGCATCGAGTTTTATCAACATCGAGGTTTATCATAGCTAACTATATTTTTTCATAAGCTGTAATTTCTTTATTTTATTGCAGCTTTAGGTATTTATTTTGATCTGGATAAAATAATATTTTGGACATTTATAATTGCATTTTTTTGCTAAAATAATGTGAAGTATATATATACTTATTCTATCTGGATTTTTTTTGCTATATTCTCTATTTTTTTAATATTTTTTATCTATACTATTAAAACAGAAGTGCCCTTCTGTTTCAACAGTATTTCCAAATCCATGTCGCTAGAATATTTTAATTTTATGGTTTTTATTAAATCATTTATTTTCTAACCAAAAAAAGTGAGAATTATATAAGTACGGATAAATATCTATTTACTGATATCAAACTTGTTAAACCAATCAAACCTGTTGGTATCGAACTAAAATTAAAATCCAACCAAACATGATATTGAAATTGTACTTGACCCAATTCTTTAGTAGGATGTTGTGTTAGGTTCGATTTGGATTTCGTGCCGGGTCGGGTTTTAACTTAAGTTCGATTCCAACTGGTTTGATACCTAAGTAGACTCTAAACCAATAAAACCAAACTAAATTTTCGTCTGTGTGGTTTTAGGGTTCGATCTTTGAAAATAGAGGTAAATATGTTCATATATTTAAAATGTGTATAATTAGGTTCATATAGTTAAAATGTGTGCAATTAGAACGAGCAAAATATTGTGTGGAATTGTTACTATATGAAACTTCTAATGTGGAAATAGGTCGTTTACCTAGTAAAAAAATAGTATTTGAAAATCAGAAACTAAAAACTAGTGTAAAATCTACAAAACAATCAACCTTTAAGGCTGCCAAACAAAAAAAGAAGAACTAATACTCTTTCAGTTCTGATCACTTACTGTTAAATAACTGACAACTATTTGGTGGTTGCAGCGGTTACATGGCTCCAGAGTAAGCAATGAACGGACAATTCTCAGTGAAAACCAATGTATTTAGCTTTGGTGTACTAGTCACTGAGAGTTGAGATCATTACAGGCAAGAGAAACAACTGGTATCCAGAAGAACAAAGATCACTGTTTCTTAACTATGTGACTAAAATCATTGCTTTGGAATTCTTATTCTAGACGACTCTTTAAGTCTCAACTTTTACTTTGTGTTATATGAGTAGGTGTGGAAATGCTGGAGAGAAGGGAAAGTGTTAAATAGTGTGGACCAATTCTGCTTGAAACAAAAGGTCTAAGTGATGAAATCATGAAATGCATTCACATCAGCTTGTTGTGTGTGCAAGAGAATGCAGAGAGTAGACCAACAATGGCTTCTGTTGTTGTAATGCTCAATGCAAGTTCTTTCACTTTACCTCGACCTTCAGAACCAGGTTTTCACTCAGGGGATGGAGAATCATCAACGCCAAGAGACAACCACACAAGTAGTGTTGCTTCACTGAACAGTGTTACAATCACTGAGTTAGATCCTCGTGAACTAGTGTGTAACTATATCGCTCTATAGTATAAACTTCAGTATGATTGCTAAAGTTCAATCTATGAACACAACTTTTTGGTAGCGTTGCAAAAACAAATAGTTTAAGGATCTTTACACTAATGTTACATTTGAAATGAAGAAGCACACGAAGAGCTGTTTCAGAAGATTCACCTTTGGTTAGCTGATGATATACTCAGCTTCCACTGTGTAGGCTACAGTTTTGTAATTCATACAGATATAAAACTGTTCCATTACTCCTTATCATTCTTGGTTGCTGCATGAGTCTCTGAACCCACATGTGTAGTGGATGAAAAAGTAACCCGGTTTGGTTTGCTGGAAGCTCTCTCTTCAAGTGTCTTACCCCAACAATTCTTTGCAAGATGTCCTCTCCTCCCACAGTTGTCACAGACAATACTGACCCTCCCATCTCTCTCAGGTTCTTTCCTCTTCCAACCTATACTCTGAGAACCTCTTCCTAGACTCTGTGGCATCCTCTCCATCTGACAGGAGCCTGTTGCTGGTCTATACGTAACTCTCTGTGGTCCCTCCTCCTCAGCTTTGACTCGTTCCATCAACATCCACACCGGTAAAAACTCCTCTTCCATCAACCGTGTGCTAAACCCTCTCCAAGACGGTGGAAACTTGGAGATGATGGTACTCACATGAAACGTCTCGTCTAGAAACATACCAGCACTCACTATGGAGTCAGCAATCTTGTTAAATTCTTGGACTTGATCAAGAACAGGTCTCTCTTCCACCATCTTGAACTCAATGTACTTTCTCACCTGTGACCTCTTTGAGTTAGATTCCTCACACTGGTACACCCACTTCAACTCATCCCACAGTTCTTTAGCATGCTTGAACTTTTTCGAGTATTGACGGTGTAGATGGTCTGACAAGGAGTTCAACAAGTGAGTGTAGCATAGGTAATCATCTTTCAACCAGTTTTTCCCTGAAGCATCAGCTTGAGAGGGACTGTTGGTAACAACAGGACAGGGCTCAAAGAGAACATAACTAAGATTCAGTTGCTTTAAGAAAAGCTCCATCTGTGATGCCCAGCGAAGATAACTCCTCCCATCAAAACGTGAAGTCTCTATGATGGAAAAACTGCAAGTGGTAGTATTATTGTTCTCCACAGGCTTAGAAGTATCTCCGTTTTGTTTTGACTCAGATCTACATAATGTGTAGATAAAGCAGCACACATGCTAAGGTAACATGAGAACATGAAAATCTTTATAGACATAATGTAACAACGTTCTTACTTTAATTTTGATTCGGACTGCTTAATGCCTTCCTCTATTGCTGCAAAGTTCTCTTTGATCACAGACCACTGGTTAACTGACAAATGTACTCCTGTTATAGAACAAAGACGAAAGCTTTTTCAGCAAAACATGAAGAAGCAGAGGAAAGAAACGTCTTTTTGCACAAACCCATTGGAGAGTGAATTAGAATAAAGCAAAAGAAGAGTCCATGAAGCAAAATCATAACCAATTAAAAGTACTCATAAGCTTCAGAATCAAGACAAGAAGATATCTTTATGAAACCAATCAAAAGTACTACTCATAAGCTTCAGAATCATAGCATGAAGAAAACAGAGGAAATAAACGTTTTTTGCACAAACCCATTGGAGAAAGAACTAGTATTAAAGCAAAACAAGAGTCCATGAAGACAAAGAGTAACTCATAAGATTCAGAATCAAGACAAGAAGACACAAAATTATGTTCGAAAGTACTCATTCGGAATCAAAGACAAGAAGATATCTTTCGGAAACCAATCAAAAGTAACTGATTAAGTTTCAGAATCTAAGACATGAAGACACAGAGTTCTGTTCCAAAATTTACCTCTGAAAGGCTTTTTATTGTCCAGAGAACTCTCTCCAATGGATACAAAAGCTTGGCCTCTGTATTTCTGAACCGTCGCATGTCGCTTCTTCGATAACTGTTAGAGACTTAAAAAAAGATCAAAACTTTACACAGCAAAAACATTCAACTCTGAAGTTTGAAATTCACAAACCTTACAAACAAAGCGTTCCTCTTCTTCACTACCAGTTGAAGCTGTAAGGGTAGGATTAGGATCCACGGGAGAAACCGTTTCTTGTACATTTGCTTCATCGTGGACAGCCTCATCGTCGGGATTGGATAGAAGGAAGGATTCAAGAACGTCTCTGACAAGCTTCTTGTGATCGGTGTCTGATAATTCGAAACCGAGTTTAGTAGAAGCGGAGATGCGGAGTTTGAACTCAGTCATCTGATCCATGTCAGCTTCTCTGAGTATTCCCTTCACTGTTTCCTCTATTTGATGTGTAGTAGGAGGAGGAACCATCTCTGTCTCCATGTTCCGAAAAAGAAAAGAAAAGAAAAAAGAGAATGTCGCAATATAAGTTCAATGGAGAGATTCTGTTGTTGGCCGGGGTTGTATTTTAGGGTTCTTATAGATTCGCCGGAGGATAGAAAGATTGGCCGGAGAGGTGGGAAAAAAATTATGAGGTTCCACCGAGAATTGAACTCGGGTTACTAGATTCAGAGTCTAATGTCCTAACCGCTAGACCATGGAACCTGTGTGTACTGCAGTGACGATGAACACTAATCGAATGTAACTAAACAATGTGAAGATAATTCGTGGAGGCAATTGGGCCCAGTTGCCATGGCCCATTAGTGAAACTGTAGTAATTTCTGGTCCCTGATAAGTCGAAATGAAGAAGCGAAGATGCGGAGCTTGAACTCAGTCATGAGTATTCTCTTAACTGTCTCCTCGATTCTCTGTGTAGTAGGAACGGTCTCCATAGCTTCGCCAAAATCAATCAGAAAAAAATATCACAGCAGAGAGATTACTTCAATTATAATGTTGTTGGCCCGGCGTTGTATTTAGGGTTCTTATTAATTCGCCGGGGAGAAAAAAGGTTGGGCGGAGAGAGAAAAAAGAAGGTTCTACCGAGAATTGAACTCGGGTTACTGGATTCAGAGTCCAATGTCCTAACCGCTAGACCATAGAACCTCTTTGTTCTAGAGCTACTAAGTAAACAATTCATCCATGAAATTAGGCCTTGTTTCCATGGCCCATATCGGAGCCATGCTTGTAACTAGAGAATTACTTCAACTATAGTAATTTCTGGTCCTCTTTTTTTTTTGACTGTGTTATAAAATTAACGGCGGGTGAAAAATTGATTGACGAGAAACTCTGGTGGTGGCGGGTGAAACCCAGTAGGAGCCGTGTAGAGAGAGAGAGAGAATGGAGAAAAGGAAGGAGAAGCGAATTAGGTCAGATGATTCGAGTTCTGTAGGAAGAGGAAGAAGACGCAGAGGAAGAAAATCTGTCGGTGGAGATAATTCGAAGCGTTCTACGGAAAAAGACATCTCTACTAAGCCGGACAAGGTTTTTTTTTATTTTTTATTTTTATTTTTGTAGTCTCCATTATTGTATTGCTTTTGAACTAGAATCTATCTTTTTTTTTTTTTTTCTTCTGAATACTGTTTAATTCTAATTTAGGGAAGTTTTTGTTTTTGGATATTGAAAAGAGGAAATGTAAAATACTTTGTTTCCCTTCTTGCAGGATGTGTCTGATGGAACAAGAAAGTATGCTGGTTTGACTTGTCATCAGTGCAAGAACTTTACGGATAAGGCTGAACTTGTCTTCTGTTCAAAATGCATCAAGAAACGTTATTGCTATGACTGCATCAAGAGATGGTAAAAAGTATTATTGCAGTTTCCTTCTCTAACCAGTAGTCAGGAAAGTTTTTTGAGTTTTGATTTTATGTTTGAATTTCTCTAAAGGTATCCAGAGAGAACGCCTGAGGAAGTTAGAGCTGCCTGTCCTTTCTGTTTGGGGAATTGCAATTGCAAAGCTTGTTTGCGTGAACCTTTGCTTGTCAAGGTAAAGGGAGTTTTGAGATCACTATTTTCAAATTTGTATACTAATACATTCGTTTAATCTTTTTGAATCTCAGAAACAAAGTGAAAAAGAGGAGAGTGTCAAGCTCAAGCAGTTGCAGTACCTATTAGTTAAAGTCCTTCCGGTTCTTAGGGATATCTTTGCACAGCAGAAACGTGAACTTGAGTTTGAAACATCAGTTGTTAGAGGTATCTTCAACTTGCTCATTTCTTACTTTGGTTTCTATCTTCCACTCACAACAAACCTGTTTTTATTCTAGGAGTTCCTGTGACAGAATCTGACATTACTAGGTGCGAAGTTGGCAACAATGAACGCATACTTTGGTAAACCTTTCTTTCTTTTAAACTAGTTTAAGCTTTCATATTGTTTTTTTTATTTTGTATTCTTTGCAAATAGGCACTAGGGATAGAGAATCTTATGTAGGGATTATCACCAAGTTCACGAGGAGATGCAATGGCAATCTGATCAACATATCCATGGAACATGAATAATTAGTGTAGGTGATTAATAAAGTTATGATCTCATTAAGACATTAGTTCCATATGAGTTAGTTTGTTTTTAATTTGAGTTTAGATGAGCTAAACACGTCAAGCAATGTGATATTTACGGTATTTGTGGGATTTGGTATTATGGGTTTACTTCCTAATAGATCTCTTTTCTTTCAGCAACCTTTCTCATCCAGAAAAAAAGTGAACACCTTGCATATTGAATAAAGCATGACATAGTATTATTGGTTAGTCTTTTTCTTTGAGTTGTAACTCTATGATACATTGTATGTTTACAATCTATTCATCCCTGTACGACAGTGATCTCTGCCGCACTTTCATCACCAATTTTCACAGAAGCTGCCAGGACCCAGATTGTTCATGCCATATATGTCTTTCTTGCTGCAACGAACTAAGAGAGGCCTTCCAAGTTCCAGCCAGTGATGGGAAGAAATATGCAGTCGGGGCAGGAAATGAATGCAGAACCCAAACACGTCAAGGAAAATTTGATTGGAAGCTTAACTCTGACGGTACCATTCCATGCCCTCCAAAAGAGCTTGGCGGCTGCGGTACTTCAACACTGGAGTTGAGTCGTTTGTGCGAATGTGGCGAGGTTGAAAAGCTGATAACAAATGCAGAGGAAGTTACTCTGCAGTTTAAGCCAAAAGATGTGGATATTGCTCATGATTGTTCCTCATGTAATATCAGTTTTGATTCCACTACGAGGGAGGTGGCATATAGGAAGAATGGTCATGATAACTTCTTGTACTCCCCAAATGCTGTTGATCTCTCTGACGACGATATAGCTCATTTTCAGTCGCATTGGATGAGAGCAGAGCCTGTTATAGTCAGAAATGTTCTCGAGAAGACATCTGGACTAAGTTGGGAACCAATGGTTATGTGGAGGGCTTGTAGGGAAATGGATCCAAAGGTTAAACGCAAAGGAGAGGCAAGAAGCGTGAGAGCTGTGGATTGCTTGGACTTGTGTGAGGTTAGTCTACCAGGTTCTATATTCATTGACTTTCTTAAGACGTAAACTCATTACCCTTTCCTTTCTCTTGTAGATTGAAATAAACCTTCATCAGTTTTTTGATGGCTACTTAAAAGGCCGTGTGCGTAATAATGGTTGGCCCGAAATGTTGCAATTGAAGGATTGGCCTCCATCATCTTCATTTGAAGAGCGCCTTCCAAGGCATAATGGCGAGTTCATTTCTGCGTTGCCTTTCTTTGATTATACTGATCCAAACTCTGGTATCTTGAACCTCGCCACAAGACTTCGCGAAAGATTTGTGAAGCGAAATCTTGGACCCAAAATAGACATTGCATATGGTTTCCCTGAAGAGCTTCTTAATAGAGGAGATTCAGTGACAAAATTGCATTGGGATATTACTGATTCAGTAAGTTCACCAATTTCTTCTCATGCTTTCTCATTTCTTTGTAGATATAAGCCAAGGATTTGTTCTTTCTGATTAAGGAGCTATCATACTGAAACTAAGCTCCCGTTCTTTCCCTTCTAATGTGGTGAGTTAGGTCAATGTGCTGACGCACACAGCTAAAGTGGATATAACTCCCTGGCAATACAGAAGGATAAAAGAAGAACAAAAACGCTATGCAGAAGCCCAGTTGCGTAAACGACAGGGTGGTCAACACACAGAAGCTAGTGAACGTGAGAATGGAGAAGCTTTAGAGAAATGCAATGGTCCTATAGGAGAACAGGGTTTAAAGGACAAGTCAGCTAACGAAGAACCATCAACTGTCAGGTCAAGACTGTCCGGCTCACAAGAAGGAGATGAAATATTTGTTTCGAAAGGTATTGCAAGATGCTATATCTATGTTTATGCATAGGAGACATATACTGAAGAAAGATTGCTTAAACTTCAGGTGACTGTACTAACATTGAACGAGCTGATCCTGTGGAAGGGTCTTGCCCAACTGTTATGGAGTCGGATCATAATTCAAAGGCGGATGCAGGTTTAATTCCTCAGAAGAATGTAACACTGAAAACCGAACCAATTGCTGGTGAGAATTATAATGACATATGTTTGAAGACAGAGATATTATCTCCAATGTACCCAAGTGCGGATGGTCCCACGGTAGAGAATGGACTAATGATGCCAACACTTCCTTCAACTCCCTTGTGGGATGAGGAGGATAGTCCCCTACAACCTGTTGTGAGTACAAGTGCGGAATCCATAGAAGAGCAGAAACGAGATGCTCCAAAAGAAACTAAAGGCAATGCCAGTGAGAATTCAAAGGCTGTGCATGGTGGTGCTGTCTGGGACATCTTTCGAAGAGAGGATGTTCCAAAACTTATTGAGTATTTGAAAAGGCACAAGCATGAGTTTCGTCAGCTCTACAACGAACCTGTGAAATCTGTAAGTACCATTACCACATTAAATATTAAGAGAAACCTCTGATTTATGCTTCTGTTTAATTTCAGATTTTTCACCCAATTCATGACCAGACTATGTTCTTGAATGAAAGCCAGAAGAAACAGCTGAAGGAGGAGTTCGGTAAGATTTTGGTTTTGGACTAAAAACATGTGCATCTACCTTCTTTGCTATGGTGAACGGTCGATATATGGATTTTTTTTTAATATGCAGATATAGAACCATGGACCTTTGAGCAACACCTTGGTGAAGCTGTTTTTATCCCTGCTGGTTGTCCTCATCAAGTGAGGAACATACAGGTAATGCAATTGGTTAACACTCCCTCCTTTTTGACATTTCATCTTTATGAGTCAAGTAACATTTAGTCATTTGAAATGTTACTGATCCTCCTCAACTTCTAACAGTCTTGCATAAAGGTGGCACTAGATTTTGTTTCTCCTGAAAGCTTAGAGGAATGCCTTAGGCTAACAGAGGAGTTCCGGAGACTACCAAAAGACCACAGATCCAACAAAGATAAATTAGAGGTACTTTTGACTATTTTCATTTGTATATGTTATTGAATCTAAAAAGAGTCTATAGTAGTTTCATGTTTACGTTAAGCTCTCTGCGTACTTATTTATCTTCTCACTGCATTGGATGTAGCTTGAGAAGATAGTGCTGCATGCTGCAAACTCAGCCATAAGAGACGCAAACAAGCTACTGCAAAAGTCCATGACACAGTGTGATACGTATGAGGCTTGTCCCCCTCCGATTATTCATAAGTATGCACGAAGAAAGGCTCATATGTCTAAGGAAGCCCAGCAGAAGAGGAGCAAGTTTGAGAAGAAGAAAATATGTTGAGAAGTAGTAGAGATTAAAGGTTGTAGACAAAAGCGCATGGGATGATCATTGTTAGTGAGTCTCTCTAGAGTGGGATTTGTAACCGTGTTCATTTAACCTAAAGCATCCTTTAGATTTTTCTTTTGGGTCAAGAAGTTCTAATACTGTGTGCATGGTGGTGCTGTGTGGGACATATTTAGCAGAGCGGATGTTACAAAACTTATTGTGTATTTGAAAAGGCACAAGCATGAGTTCTGTCACCTCTATAACCAGCCTGTAAAGTCTGTATGTATCCTCATATACATCTCCTGTAAATGATTGGCTTTGAACAATCACGGATGTGTGCGAAATTTAGAATTTATTTTTGTGTTTAATTGCAGGTAGATTACCCAATTCTTTACCAGACTATGTTCTTGAGTGATAGTCAGAAGAAACCGCTGAAGGAGGAAGACGGTAAGATTCTGGTTTAGACTAGAACCTTTGCTATGGTGAATGGTTGATATATGATTTTTTCATATGCAGATATAATAGAACCATTGACGTTTGAGCAACGTCTCGGCGAAGCTGTTTTCATCCTTGCAGGTTGTACTTACCAAGTTAGAAACAGACAGGTAAGAAACGTTGAAACAGGTCTACGAATCAAGAAACGAGTAAACTATATGTATTCATCTGGATCTACCCTCTTTGCTCTTTCAGAGCATCTCCAATGTACATCTCTATGTTTCGTTTTTTTCCGCTACATTATGCATTTTAAATGTCAATGATCCTAAAATGGAAACTGTTTACAGTCCTGCATAAAGGTGGCATTTGGTTTTGTTTCTCCTGAAAGCGTAGAAGAATGCAGTGAGATTAATTACCAAAAGACCACAAACTCAACAAAGATAATAATTAGAGGTACGTTGAATATATTAACATTATATATGATCTGAACGTCGTTATGTAGGTAAGGAGTCTAGTTTCAGCTAATGTTAACCTCACTTGGCACTGCATTGTAGATAAAGAAAATAGTTCTGCATGCTGCTAGATCTGCTATAAGAGAAGCACAAGTATAAAGCACAAAGCACAAACATATTTTATTTTTTATTGGTAATCAGACAGAGAACATCGTATAATTAATTACGACACGACCAACAAGAAGAAAACAACAAATTAAGGCAAATATATGTGTTATCAAAAGACAATCATTAGATGAGGCAACGGTCAGGCTCAGTGCCTAGTAGCAGCGTAGTGCTGGACGATGGCGAAGGCATTGCTTGTGGTTTCCTCAACATTCTTCACTTTCTCTTTAATCGTAGCCTCAAACTTGCTCAGCCTCCGTCCTTGGAACTTACTCCCGAGAGTCTCCGACAAGATCCTTATTCAACGTCCTTAAGCAAAACGTTACTTTGTTTTGTTAATATAGTTTTCAATTTGTGAAAAAAAAAGGAAACTGTTTACCATCTTCCATAAAGGTGGCACTAGGTTTTGTTTATCTGGAAAGCATAGAAGAATGCATTAGGCTCTGACACAAGAGTGCAAGAGATTTACCAAAGGACCACAGATCCAACAGAGACAAATTAGAGGCACTTTGAATATATAGGAGCAAAGGAGTAAATTACTCATGTTTACACTTTTTGAGTTTCTAATTACATATTCAGTCACTTTCTGCCTGACCCACATTTTAAAGTTATTTTTTGTTCGTTCTACCCTTCAAACTAAACTCGCTTATATTATCTCTTTTGTCAATATATATATCTGACGTCATTTTTGAAGGTAGAGAGTCTAGTTTAAACTAATGATTACATATCTTCAGTGCATTGTAAATAAAGACAATAGTGATGCATGCTGCTAGCTCGGAGGTAAGAGAAGCACAAAGTCTAATGCAAATCTCCAGGAACCAAAAGACTGTCAGAGGTTTGTTTTAAGGTTATTAATATGTCTTGTCAGAGACTTACACAGAAAGGCATTTTTATCTTCTCTTTTTATGTTAGGACACATTGTGTATTTGACACACTTTGTGTAGACCTCTGTCATTCTTCGGACAAAAATAAACTTCATTTTCTGTAAATAGAAGGATATTATTTTTAAGGAAGCAACAACAAACTAACTAAGTTAAATTTTGATAGAATCCGCATTGCTTCTTTAGTTGGAGAGTGAGAAATATGTCTTTTTGTTATTTTTTCTTAAATAATTATTATTCTTCCTTCACATTCATTTGTATTTGTTTATTTTTAAAATTTAAAGATATATAAATCAACTTTATTTAATATCATAAATTATAAATTTTTATTTTATACATTTTAACATCCATTTTAATATATATTTTTATATAAATATTCTTACGTATGGAAAACATGGATGAAGAAAACATGGATATAAAAACATGAACACAAGAGATATAAATTTGACGATTTATGGATAGAGAAAATCGTTTAAGTTTGAGTTTTCAGATTTATGTAAGATCTTTAAGATTTTTTGGCTCGTTCAAATATTTTTGAGCATAAGAGAAGTGGGAACAAGTGAAGCGTGGATGGAGATACGTGGAGAGGAGAGTTTCTTAAGAAATATATGTGTACACGCGATTTTTGAATTTCGTAGATGAACTAAGTGGAATATATGAAGTACAATGGATGATGTTTGAATAATGATAGTGTAACAAAAATACAAGTACAATAATTTTTACTATGGAAAGCATACAAGTTCTTGTGGACGGACAACTGTGGACGGATCATGAATACATTCTCAATCTTCATCTTTCTTTCCACATTGAAAATTAAAGATTTAAGAGATGATTCAATTCAAAAAATTTAGTATAGCTCCTATAAATCATTATTGTCTCCATCTTTAACTAATTTTACAGTTAGTTAAACATAAACAACGAAAACATCAAAACATCACGCAAGTTTAAACCACATGGACAAGTGCTTGTGGATAGATGCTTATGGACAGGATCAGGGGCGGACCCAGCTAGAAAATAAAAAGAGGTCATAATATTTTTTTGTCTGATTTAGAAAAAAAAAAGATATTAAGGAGATTAACTACTTATCACCAAGAGCACTGAACTACAGATACTTAATACTATGTGACTTACAATTGCATATTTATAGATTTAACTGGTGTTAACTGAACCCACATTTCTTCATGTGGGTCTGTTTTTGGACATGATCATGTGGACATGATTGTGAGTAAGAGGTTTGAATGGAAAAAATTTGTGTGGACGACTTTGTAATAGTCTTGTTCTCCTTCTTCATCTTCTTCATCTTCTTCATAATTCTTAATCAACTTCAGAAGCAGTCGTGAGAAAACGAGCTGCTATTAGGTATTGCTATCTTGTTCTTCCATTTAAGAATATAAAATTCATATCGAGACCTGGCCTCCTCTTCGCCAATCAGAATCTTTGACACGACTTCTGATTTTGTGCCGACACTGAGTTGTTAACCAATCAAAACCAGAGTGAGTGAGACAACGACAATGAATAATTAGGTTTTTGCGATGATAGAGGATGAAGTGGCTAAAACCTTAACAATGGCTTGCTATGGAAAAGTGATGAAGAAAAATATAAAAAAAACTATATAATGATAAACATTTTGGTTTGAGAAATTCTTAATCCTTTCTCATCAGATCCTAAACATGTAAGACTATCATTTAACTTCCAATTAAAAAATTAATGCTCAAATCAAGAAGTTATATTTGATAAAATGTAATGAAGAAGAATGTGAAAATTGAAAAAAAAAAGAAGGTCAAAATGTCCCATTTGACCATTTTTTTTGTATTTTAAATTTTTATTTATTTGTATGTCGAAACTAGATAATATTTAGTTAGAGGATAGTATTGTTTTTGTACAAGTGAAAAGTGTGTCAAATATTCAAAGTGTTTTTGAATGTAATTGATATCTTAAAAAGTGTCTTTGGGTGTAATATTTTTTTTAATTTTTTTATCTTTTATCCAAAGCAGTCCACCGAAATTTGTTAATCTCACATCAGAATATAAATTTGATAGTCTTTGACCAAAAAAACGAAAAAAATAAGCATTGGAGAGTACAAAAAACAATGTTTTAACAAGTGGACTAGAAGCTCAATTGGATGATTATTTATATCACAATTCAATTAGGTTCGATCGAGTTGAATCCAGTTCACAAATTGTATATGTATATATATATATATATATATATATATATATATATATATATATATATATATATATATATATATATATATAATTTTAATATAAGAAATTCAAATACTTAGAGTAAATATGATATACAAGGAGAATATGAATATAATCAAATATAAACATGGAAAATATTAACTAACTTTTTTTGTTCAAATGGTCCCTAATTTTTAATAACTTTAATTATTTTCATATGATTCATTAACATTAAAATTTAAACTGGTAACATAACTGATTTATAGTCGAACTTGATCCAACTACGGGGTCGGTCCGGTTTGAAAGACAAAAATAGAGAAAAGTAAATTTGGTCTAATTAAGAAAATTCTTCTACAACACACCGATCTAACAAATTGTTGTTTATTTGATCATATTCTTTATTATAAAAGTGGTTGTATGTAGGTCTGGACATTTAGGGTATCGATTAGGTTTGGTTCGGGTATATTGGGTAGGGGCTAGAGAATCCATGTACTATTTGAGCTATTTTGCGTTTGGTTCGGATAGTTTCAGGTTCGTTCGGTTCGGATATTAAAACTAGGACCAGAAAATACCCGGAAAAAATTGGTTCTCATTTGGTTACAGTTTAGGTAGGGGTAATTCGGGTAAAATATCGGTTACTTAGGTTTGGTTCGGGTATATTGGGTAGGGGCTAGAGAATCCATGTACTATTTGAGCTATTTTGCGTTTGGTTCGGATAGTTTCAGGTTCGTTCGGTTCGGATATTAAAACTAGGACCAGAAAATACCCGGAAAAAATCGGTTCTCATTTGGTTACAGTTTAGGTAGGGGTAATTCGGGTAAAATATCGGTTACTTAGAATAAAATATCAAATAATTAGAATGAATTAGATAGATATGATTACTTTGGATATTTCGGATAAAATCATCCGTATACTTTCGGATAGTTCGGATAATTTATAATGATTTAGTTATCTTCAACTATTTTTGAATACTTTTAACAGATTTTTAAATAAGAATCATATATTTAGTTATGTTATATGTATATAAATTTAATATTTTTATATATTCGGGTATCCGTTTGATTCGGTTATTTTAGATATAGAAATATAGGAACCGTTTGGGTATTTAGAGTTTCGATCCAATTAAAATTTTGGATATTTCGGTTTGGCTCTGGTTTAATTCTTCGATTTCGTTTTTTCGAGGCCTAGTTGTATGAACCGCACCACAACATCAGTTATGAGAAATCCACCAATTTATACATGATGTGTGTGTAGTTAATAACCATATGAAAACTAATAGTTGTGAATTTTGAGATTCTCGTTTAAAAAAAAAGTTTTATTTTCCATTTGTCATAAAATCAAAATTAAATAGTCAATTTACATAGTATTTTTCTTATATTTCAATTGAGCTTTCCTAATTTAAATCATACTATTTGGTATCTAAATAAACAAATATTTTATTCCTTCTATATTCTATCAATTCACTTCCACACAAATATATATTTTGGTTTTCGGTTTAATCTTCGTCAATTCTCATCTTTAAACCTAGCGATTACTAATTCGTTGTTGTCTCGTGTGTTTGTGTACCTTCTTGACTGCACGCTTTAATCATCCCATCATCTCATCTTCGATAATTCTCATCTCTAAACCTAGCGATTACTAATTTGTTGTTGTTTCGTGTGTTTGTCTACCTTATCGACTGCACGTTTTAATCATCCTATCATCTCATCCGAAGTCTCATAAACCTTTTCCTCACCACTCTCTAACTGGTAAAAAATCTGAATCCCTTATCTTACTGATGCAAATCTGGAGTCTCTTCAATTTTTTTTCTCATCTTTATTTTCCTTTCTATCTAGAATATTTGTTAAAATTATCGGTATGTTCTAAAATTTTGATTGTATATTTTTTGTCTTTCTCTGTTTAATTGCTATGTTATAGAAAACCAAAGAAAAAATGACGTAATTCGTCGATTTTTTTATAAATATTTAATAATTGTTTGAAAACATTGGATTTTTTAAGTTAAGTTCCTTAATTCTTTATGATTTATGCAAAACATCTTAAATTATAGAATGGATGTAGTATTCTACAACTGAATTTATATTCTAGGTTCTGTAACAACTAACAACTATGTAATTAGGTGAAACTATATTCTACATGTACGCATACATGTTATTCTACTTACGGTAGATAAGACATTCTATCATTTTTTTTTTTGTTTTCAAAAAAAATTTGACCATAAAATTTTTTTCAACCAAATATATACATGTTTTATTCTTAATTTATTGTGTATAGTTTTTTCATATTTTGGGTTCTTAACTTATCTTTTAGGAAGTCTTCAAAAGATTTAACAGTATCAAAAGTTTAAAAATCGACCAAGAAAAAGATGTATCACAACAATAAAGTTTTTTATTGGTGTTTTATTTTAGCAAAAATCTAGTTTTTTTGGGGACTAATAAATACTAAAGTAGTTTGCATAAAAGTCAGAAAAAGAAACGAAAACTAATTAAAGGAATCGTAACGATGATGATCCCTATAATAAGACATTAACCTTGGGATTGTTAGAAAAAGGGCTCTGGTGGGGATTGTTGTTGTTGTCACTTCACTAAATTTTATTACCAGGGAACGCCGTGTCCCCACGCTTAAGGCGGCGATAAAGAATGGAGGAAAGGAAGTGTAAGCGAATTAGGTCAGAGTTTCCTGACGAAGACCATCCCCCGAGATCTGACAAGCGACTTAAGACGACGACGAGGAAGAACAAGAAAGAGGAGAATGTCGGAAAAAGAGGAAGAGACACTTCTTCTCCCGACAAGGTTTCTTTTTTTGTCGAAAGTTTTAAGCTTTCGAACTGGAATCGTCTGTTTTTTACTTCTAATTTAGGGATGTTTTTGAGGAAATTGTGAAATACTTTTGTTTCTTCTTTCTTGCAGGAGGATGAATCTGATGGAACAAGAAAGTATAGTGGTTTGACTTGTCATCACTGTAAGAACTTAACGGTTAAGGCTGAACTTGTCTTCTGTTCAAAATGTATCAAGAAGCGTTATTGCTATGACTGCATCCAGAGATGGTAAAAAGTGTTTTACTTTGTGGTGTTAGTGGTCTTACGCTTGCAATTGTGATAAAGAAGTTTTGTAATTTTTTAATTTCTATAAAGGTATCCAGAGAGAACCCCTGAGGAAGTTCAAGCTGCTTGTCCTTTCTGTATGGGGAATTGTAACTGCAGAGCTTGTCTGCGAGAGCCTTTGGCTGTCAAGGTAAAGGAGGAACCTTGAGATTCATTGTCTTCTCAGATGAAATGTTTACTTCATTTCTATTTGTTATGAATCTCAGAAACAAAGTGAAAAAGATGAGAGTGTCAAGCTGAAGCAGTTGCAGTATCTATTAGTTAAAGTTCTTCCTGTTCTTAAGGATATCTATAAAGAGCAGAAACGTGAACTGGAGATTGAAACAGCAATTAAAGGTATGTATGTTCACTTGTTCTGTTCCTCTCGTGTGTGTCTTTTTTTGTTTCTATTTTAGACTAACTGAAAAAAAAAACCTGTTTTGTTTCTAGGAGTGACTGTGACGGAATCTGATGTCGTTCAGTGCGAGATTCATCCAAGTGTACGCATATACTGGTCAGTTTTTCGAAGCTCGCTGAGCATCTTTGCTTCTTCTTTTTGTTCTTCTTATTGCTTGTGTTTGATAATGATATTTCTTCCTTCTTGGGTAAACAGAACATTTCCATTCTGTTTCTTGTATGCTTTGCAAATAGTGAGGGAGAGAGAGAATCTTATGCTGCAAATTTCACCAGTCTCACGAGTAGATGTGATTGCATTCTAGTTTGTTAAATCAATAGAAGGAATGTAATGTAAACATAACTAAGGTGGTTTGATGAGATTATGATCTTATCAAGTAGTTTCATTTGATCTTTGATTGCATAGTTTAGATAAAGCTTCACATGTGAAGCAATGGGCAGAGAGTTGTTTTCATAACCATCGACAAGGGTTCTGCACCTTGTTGGGTATCTTTGAGGGGTTTAGTTTCATCTCGTCTGTGATTGCTGAGATTTTTGATCTTTTTTTTTGCGTAGTTTCTTTGAGGGGGGTTTGAGAGTTGTTTGCATAATTATCAGTTAGGTTCATACCTGCGTTGTGCCTGAGTTCATTCTTTTTGAATGTATGACTTACTCCAATATCAATACCATAAAAATCAGGCGTGGTTTAAATAAAAATTACCCCATGTTAGACCAAATAAAACTTTCAAATTTGGACGCCCTTAAGTCTAGATTTCTACTCTTTTAAGGTTTTTTCATCGGTTCTTTTATAATTGGACCACAATTCTTGAATCTATGATAGATAGTTCTGTATCTACAACATCCACTATAGAAATAGTCTACATGTAGTATTTTAAGGAACAACAATTCCACGAAATCGTGACAACATCTATTCACGGATGTCCGGACGATCCATGTTTGTTGGTTTAGTGGGGTTGGCTTTGCAATTAAAGATGGATCAATTGTGGCTAGACCTGATAATCTCATCAACTTAGGTGATGTCTTTGTGTGGTTGGCGCTAGAGTGATCGTACCTTCACAAGGGAGAGATGAGAAAACTCGTGGAACTTTTGAGGAAAGCGATAAGAGGCTTTGGAGACGAGTACCCGAGCTGTTGAAAATATAATTTTTGTTATCAATCCCGGTTTCACATGGTTTATCATATCCAATTTAAACCATGTAACAATTGAATCACTCTCTGATTTGGATTGATTAATAAATAACTACTTACGTGAATACCAATTCCATAACACAAATTACATTCTAACTGGTGTATCACTTATGATGAACAATAAACATCTCAAGTAGTTAAGAACTTCACCCATTTGAAAATAGTTAACTTAAAAGAATTTCAAATGTGTGTCATCCAAATGAAAATCTCTAGCCAACTGCCAAATTATTAAAAGTGCAATTTTTGGGCAATAGAGTCCAAATTTAATTGAGAAGATTTTTAGGCCTTTAACTATGAAAAGCCTTTATAAACCTTTAAACATTGGACCAATGAATTTTTTATTCAGTTTAGGCCTTTAACTTGTCCAATCTATTCTTAATAAATTTTTGAACTTTCATTTTCTCTTGTCATTGTTTGTAAGACAAGTTCAGTGTCAAGTATATTTTGGGGTTTGGTAATATGAAGACGGGATTGATTTTCATTAGTTCTTTCTTTAAGAGAATTCTCATAATAATTGTGGTTTTATGGAGAGTATGAGCAATCTTATTAGTGAATTTCTACAGTCTTTTTGAAAAAAAAATATAAATAGGAAAGGTGAAAAATATGAAAAAGTAAGAAAGAGAAATAGAAAGTCAAAAACTTGTGAGAAACTCTTTTTATATGTGTCCAACACCTCATGGTTTATATTATTTTAAATGTTATGTGTTTAAGTGGGAACAAACAGTATATCAACACATGTTGAAGGCAATACTTTGTCATTTTGTGTTACCATTTAAAAACTAAATTCTTTTGTTGTCAACATCATCTGAAATTTGTTTAAAAAAAACTGTAATAAAATATTAGATTTATATTTTCTTATACCTTCGAGAAAACATCTAACCAATAAATATGTTTCTCCAAGAAATAAATAAAGAATTAGCCACAGATTGTACATGTTTCTTTAACTTGCATTATCTTTGATTTTTTTTTACATGTTACTACTCTGTGCTACCTCTGTTTGCTTACAATCTTTCACTCTATGTACCACAGTGACCTCTGCAGCACATCCATTGCCAATTTTCTCAGAAGCTGTCAGAACCCAGATTGTTCATCAGACATATGTCTTTCTTGCTGCAAGGAACTAAGAGATGGGAAGAGTTTCTCTAGCTGGAAGCTTAATTCTGATGGTACCATTCCCTGCCCTCCAAAGGAACATGGTGGTTGTGGTACTTCTACACTGGAGTTGAGACGTCTGTTCGAACGTGATTGGGTCCAAAAACTGATAACAGATGCAGAGAAAGTTACTCGACAGTTTAAGCCACTGGATGTAGATATTGCTCATGAATGTTCCTCATGCACTGTTGTCAGCTCTGATTCCATTAGAAGGCAGGCTGCTTCTAGGAAGAATGGTCATGATAACTTCTTGTACTCCCCAAATGCTGTTGATCTCTCTGAAGACGATATAGCTCATTTTCAGTCGCATTGGATGAGGGCAGAGCCTGTTATAGTCAGAAATGTTCTCGAGAAGACATCTGGACTAAGTTGGGAACCAATGGTTATGTGGAGGGCTTGTAGGGAAATAGATCCAAAGGTTAAATGCAAAGAAGAGGCAAAAGCTGTGAAAGCTGTGGATTGCTTGGACTGGTGTGAGGTTAGTCAACCAGATTCTATCTTTTTTTAAGACAGTAAACTCATTACCATACTCTTTCTCTTGTAGGTTGAAATAAATCTTCATCAGTTTTTTGATGGCTACTTAAAAGGGCGTATGCATCTAAATGGTTGGCCAGAAATGTTGAAACTGAAGGATTGGCCTCCATCAACTTTATTTGAAAAGCGCCTTCCAAGGCATAATGACGAGTTTATTTCTGCATTGCCTTTCTTTGATTATACTGATCCAAAGTCTGGTATCTTGAATCTTGCAACAAGACTTCCAGAGAAATCCTTAAAGCCAGATCTTGGACCCAAGACATACATTGCCTACGGTTTCCATGAAGAACTTAATAGAGGAGACTCTGTGACAAAGCTTCATTGTGATGTTTCTGACGCTGTAAGTGCACCGATTTGTCTTAATAGACATAAACCACTGATTTGTACTTTCTAAGTGAATCTTACCTTCTTCTTTTGGTGAGTTAGGTCAATGTGCTGACACACACAGCTAAAGTGGATATAACTCCCTGGCAATACCAAACGATAAAAATAGAACAGAAACGCTATGCAAAAGCCCAGTTGCGTAAACAACAATGTGGTCAACAAAGAGGAGCCAGTGGATTTGAAAACAAATCACTAGAAGAAGTGGATAAAGATGAAATCATCTTGATTGAGGATGGAGAAGATTTAAAGAACTGCAATGGTCTTTTGGGAGAACAGAGCTTAAAGGATAAAGTAGCTAAGGAAGAACCATCAAATAGCATTGCTGGACCGTCCAGATCACAAAAAGGTATTGCAATAAGTTCCTTCCATACATATGTATTACTTTAGATACATTTCTGAAAGCTTATGTTTCAGGTGAATGTACTAAAACTGAAATAGCTGATGATCCTAAGGAAGGATCTTCGAGTTCGTATTTTTGCACTGTTGCTATGGAGTCAGATCATGTTCCAAAGGTGGCTGCGGGTTTGATAACTCAGAAGAATGTAACGGTGAAACACGATTCAGTTGCTGATGAGAATCATGATGACTTCTGTTTGAAGACAGAGAAAAAGGATAGTCCTCTACAACTTGTTGTTAGTACAAATGTGGAATCCATACAAGAGCAGAAACTGGATGCTCCAAAAGATACTTATGGCAATGCGGATGCAGGTTTAATTCCTCAGAAGAATGTAACACTGAAAACCGAACCAACTACTGGTGAGACTTATAATGACATATGTTTGAAGACAGAGATATTATCTCCAATGTACCCAAGTGAGGATGGTCCCACGGTAGAGAATGGACTAATGATGCCAACACTTCCTTCAGCTCCCCTGTGGGATGAGGAGGATAGTCCCCCACCACCTGTTGTGAGTACAAATGCGGAATCCATAGAAGAGCAGAAACGAGATGCTCCAAAAGAAACTAAAGGCAATGCCAGTGAGAGTTCAAAGGCTGTGCATGGTGGTGCTGTGTGGGACATCTTTCGAAGAGAGGATGTTCCAAAACTTATTGAGTATTTGAAAAGGCACAAGCATGAGTTTCGTCATCTCTACAACGAACCTGTGAAATCTGTAAGTATCATCATCACCACATCACTTGTAAATAGTGAGAGGAAACCTCTGATTTATGCTTCTGTTTAATTTCTCAGGTTTTTCACCCAATTCATGACCAGAGTATGTTCTTGAATGAAAGCAAGAAGAAACAGCTGAAGGAGGAGTTCGGTAAGATTTTGGTTTTGGACTAAAAACATGTGCATCTACCTTCCTTGCTATGGTGAATGGTTGATATATGATATTTATCTTATGCAGATATAGAACCATGGACCTTTGAGCAACATCTCGGTGAAGCTGTATTTATCCCTGCAGGTTGTCCTCACCAAGTAAGGAACATACAGGTAAAGCAACTCCTTTTTGACACTTCATGTTTATGAGTCAAGTAACATTTACAACGTTTAGGCATTTGAAATGTTACTGATCCTACTCAACTGTTAACAGTCTTGCATAAAGGTGGCACTAGATTTTGTTGCTCCTGAAAGCGTAGAGGAATGCCTTAGGCTAACAGAGGAGTTCCGGAGACTACCAAAAGACCACAGATCCAACGAAGATAAACTAGAGGTACTTTTGGCTATTTTCGTTTGTATAATGTTATGAATCTCGAAAGAGTCTATAGTAGTTTCAGGTTTATGTTAAGACTTTCTGTGTACTTATTTATCTTCTCACTGCATTGGATGTAGCTTAAGAAGATAGTGCTGCATGCTGCAAACTCAGCCATAAGAGAGGCAAAAGAGCTACTGCAAAAGTCCCTGACACAGTGTGATACGTATGAGGCTTCTCGCCCTCCGATTATTCACAAGTATGCACGAAGAAAGGCTCACATGTCTAAGGAAGCCCAGCAGAAGAGGAGTACGTGAGGAGCAAGTTTGAGAAGAAGAAAGGTTGTAGACAAAAGCGCATGTGTGCAAGCCTTAGTAGTATAAGTAGGTAGTAAGAGATTGAAGGGAGGTTATCATGTTGGATGATCATTGTTAGTGAGACTCTCTAGAGTGGGATTTGTAACCGTGTTCATTCAACTTAAAGCATCCTTTATATTTTTCTTTTGGGTCAAGAAGTTCTAATACTGTGCATGGTGGTGCTGGTGGGACAAACATATTTAGCAGAGAGGATATTCTAAAACTTAAGTATTTGAGAAGGCACAAACATGAGTTTCTACCTCTATAACGAACCTGTGAAATATCATCACATGTATCTCTTATAAATGGATTAGTGCTGAGAGAAATTTGGGAATTTATGCTTCTGTTTAATTTCAGGTGTCACACCCAAATCATGACCAGAGTAAGTAAAACTTGTGCCAGTAATACGGTAAGATTCTGTTTTGGACTGAAAACATGTGTATCTTTAAAAAAGCTGATCTACATTCTCTGCTATGATGAACGGTCCCATATACGTGTTTCCATATATGCAGATATAGAACCATGGATCTTTGAGCAACACAAGCTGTTTTTTTGTTGGAAGTATTTTTGAACATTATGAAATGAAAATGTATTCATATGTCAAAAATAGTGTTTGTTTGAATAAGAAATGTTGGTCCAAAGTCGGAAAGCTTATAAAGCTTGACAATTTGACTATATTTAAAAATTAGTAAATAGCCCACATTAAAATATGAGGTGAAAATCCTCTTGTTTATATATAGAGAAGTAATGACATGGTTTAAAACCTAATAAAAAAAATACTATGGTATAATAATGAAAAGATATCTATACTATTAAAACAGAATCCTTCTTAGTATTATGTTCTTGATTTTTAAGAATATTACAAAATCATACCACTAACTTCTATTTATTTAAGTTAAATAATCAAATATTTCATATATATATGGGAACTAATACTTTCCATATTTTTGTCAAAGGTAATAATTCTGATTTTTATGTCAATTATACTTGCCATTTAATTTGAATATAAATTTTTTTAAATAATAATATTAAAATATCAAATATAGGTAGATACATGAAGTTTTTTAAAAAATATTATTTACTATGTATTTCTATACATAATACTAATATATCAATTTTCAGTGTTCAAAAATAATTTAAAACTTATCATAAAATTTAATTTTAGATCTAAAATAAATAAAAATATAAAATAACATAGGTTATTAAAAATGAAAGGAAACTAATATTGTCATATTAAAAATTCTTTTTTTTTATTACCATTGTTTCGTTTTTTTCAAATAACATAATAAAAATTTCATCAAATTCTAAAGAATTAAAAAAATCAATTTTATATAATATTAAAAGAAAAGAGTTATTTAGTCAAAAACTTCAAAAGTATTATTAAATGTTTTGGATTTTTAGTGGATTAACCAATGTCAGATCGTAATTTTAAAATTTTTTACCGGATTGCATCAAACTTGTAGTTAAAAAAATATTTTCTTTAAATTCAAAATGGATTATAGACAAGTCACAAGTGTCTAGATCTATTGCCTCAACCATATATCTGAATCAAATATAAACACACTACTTAAAAATCAAACACTATGATAAAACAATATTGTGAAATACTAATAATTTTTTTTTAATAAAAGTTATAGATTTAATCAAATTTTATTAGAATGAGAAAATATCCGCGCTTTTAAAGCACATATCACAATCTAGTATCCAATTAAAATGTGTGTGTGCATTAAACCGAGGATAAACCAAATACGATTTGGGTTTGGAATTGGGACTCAGATTAAATTTATGAGTTGGTTTAATACCCTATCAAAGTCATGATTAATTTGAATTATTTAATCATAAATATATTTTCATTGGTAACCAAACGTCACCATTTGAGTTGGTCATGGATTCAGTCATAGATTCAATTTAATTATATGAATAAATGTTCGTGGATTCAAATTATTTAGTTTGCCATATCGTAGAAATTATGTTTTTACAATTTTAATTCTTCAATTTTTGTTATTAGACTAACGAAAACTGATTCTTTGTTAAGTTTTGATAAGAGTAGGTTAATGTTCAGCCAAGGATTCTTAATCTAGTGGGAATTAATTTTGGATGAATATCGATTTCGGCTTATTGGTTATTTTGGTTTAATTTGTTTTCGTAGGAATTTCTTTAGATTATTATTATTTTTAATTTTAATCATTTAGAAATTTCAGTGATCTGTGCTTGCAAATTACACTGATTCATATTGCAATCGCAATTGCGAAAGGAGGGGAAAAAATGATAGTTCCTCAATTTTCTTTTCGGATAACATTGCTAGAATAATAAAATTTTAATTTGTTGCTAGTCAATTTTGGTCAACTGGATATAGAATATTGGAAAAAAGTTTCTTAGCTACCCGAAATTTACACTAATATGGTGGAAACCATTCAATGTATAAAAATGTGTCAAGAACTATATGAAGTATATGTTAATACATGCCACATGTACGAAGTAAATGATATTATGGTGACGACATCACAATCGGATTTAATTGTTCTTAAACTAAGTTAATGTGGTCAATCCGTAATTTATGAAACTTAATAAACTTAATTAATTTTAATTATTAAGTTAATAAAATTAATAAACTTAATAAACATAATATTTTTTAAAACTTAATAAAATTAATAAACTTAATATTTTGGTTAAACTTAATAAATTTATTAAATTTAATAAAATTATTAAACTTCATAAACTTAATAAACTTAACAAACTTAATAACTTATAAACTTAATAAGTTATTAAACTTAATATACTTAAAAAACTTAATAAACTTAATGATTTATTAAGTTTAATACATCTTATTAAGTTTAATAAATCTTATTAAGTTTAATACAATTTATTAATTTAATAATTTTAAATTTGATAAAATTAAAAAAACATAATAAACATAATATTTTTTAAAAAACTTAAAAAATTATTAAACTTAATAAATCATTAAACTTAATAAATTATTAAACTTAATAAAATTATTAAAGTTCATAAACTTAAAAAACTTAATAACTTATAAACTTAATAAGTTATTAAACTTAATATACTTAGAAAACTTAATAAACATAATAATTTAATAAATTTATTAAATTATTAAACTTATTAAACTTAATAAATTTATTAAATTATTTTGTTTATTAGTTTTAGGATTCTAGCTTATTAAACATAATAATTTTTAAAAACTTAATAAACTTTATAAACTTAATAAGATTTCTTAAACTTAATAAGATGTATTAAACTTAATAAATCATTAAGTTCATTAAGTTTGTTAAGTATATTAAGTTTAATAACTTATTAAGTTTATAAGTTATTAAGTTTGTTAAGTTTATTAAGTTTATGAAGTTTAATAATTTTCTTAAGTTTAATAAATTTATTAAGTTTAATAAATTTATTAAGTTTAACAAAAAGTATTAAGTTTATTAATTTTATTAAGTTTTAAAAAATATTATGTTTATTAAGTTTATTAATTTTATTAACTTTAATAATTAAAATCAATTAAGCTTATTAAGTTTCATAAATTACGGATTGACCCCATTAACTTAGTTTAAGAACAATTAAATCCGATTGTGATGTTGCCACCATAATAGCATTTACTTCGTACATGTGGCATGTATTAACATATATTTCGTGTAGTTCTTGACACATTTTTATACGGTTTCCATCATATTAGTGTAAACTTCGTGTAGCTAAGAAATTTTTTCCCTAGAATATTTGGCTCATTTGATTCCTTATTCATTCAAACATTTCTATACAAGATTGAATGAGTTTTGTATTAAAAATATTATAGCTCATAATTATGATTGGAACAAAACGTTATTAGTTTATTATATGTTAATGCTTTGACTGACTTGATTTAATTATCAAGATTGATTAACGTTTTTGATTTCTTGTTTCAGAATCGTGGGATAACTTAATATAATTATTAAATACATGTCTGAGCATGATAGAAGAAAATGATCTAAATTTCAAGTATGATGATACTTTGGGTATAAAAAAAATTGGATCTTTAAAATATCAAATGATATGGATAGAAATGGATTCGTGAGTCGATGCTCCAAATTAAGTAAGAGGTTTGCTACATATAAATCATTTGACATTACAAATAAAATGTTATTGAAATTGATCAAAATATTTATATTTCATCAATACTTTAATTGGAGTCGCATAAAGATTGATCATGGGGAAAATGAGGATTTTTCAGATCAATATGACTGAAACTGATATATGTATTGTAGTTTCTAAAGTCAATATGGTTGAAAGTAGTGATTTTGATGCCAAAATAATATCTTGTAATAATATGAATATTTTCTAAAAAGCAAAAATATGTGTTTGAAAAAATTCAAAACATATAAGATGTTTTTATAAATCAACTCTAGAGAACTATGAAAAATAGTTGTATGTAAAACGTTGATTTCTGAGAATGAAATACATTTTTAAGAAAATTGTAATTTTCAAAATTGCTTTTTATTCATTTAAATCTAAATAAGTTGTAGATTAATTTTTCTAAACTTTTAAGACGTTTTAAATGTATATATGCATATTTTTTGAGTAAATTTTAAAAATGTGGGAATACTTTACTTACCATCTAAAGTTGTTGACAAGATGACAAATGAAATTTGGGATAATTATCATAATACGATATAAAAAAACTAGTGTCAAACACTAAGTTTTATGTACAATGGTAATTTGTGTCTTGAAAAAAGATGACAAAAATTATTAAATAATTGATCTTCGTTGAATTAATCTTAAAAGATTATGTTTATTATGATGACAGTCTAAAGGTGTGTCATAAGATCAAATTTTAATATCATCAAGAGGAATGAGTGAAAACCTATTAACTAAGATGAAGTTTGGCAGTAACTCTACCTAAATGATTGGAGATCCCAAGGAATAGGTTCAAAGAGACAACTAATTCAAATTAAATCTGCTCAAAGCACTGTAAGACTTTGGTCTATATCCAGTTTTCAGGATGATTAAACAGTGCTATATGTAAGGATTACAGGATAAGCATTTGCTTTTAACGATTTTGTGTCCATTTTTTTGATATATGAATGAAGTAGTACATGATACTCCTCAAAACAAAGCTAATGGAAAATCATCTTGTGAATGTGAAATATAATTGTTTCTAAGAGAATGAAGGAAATACTATATTCTCTAAGATCACTCATGATTAAC